CTGTGCGCTTCCATCCCCGAAAGTAACAGGCCCCCACTCACCCCCAACGTCACCCCACTCCCAAACCACCGAAGTTTCAGGCGGGGATGGAAGCTGGATCGAGAGCCTCGGAAAACCGTAACTAAAATAGAGTCTGTCAAACTCAGGATCGAGCGGGGGGCGGTGTCCAAGAGCCCGCAGCGCATCCCGATGAGACGCGTGTCTCTCACACAAAACCTCAGCACCAGAAGCCTCCTCGCTCCCATCGGGCTGCAACAAGCTGGGACATCCGTGCCAAACATGCCCGAAGGATCCGTCATCTGACTGACAGGCTGCACAGTGCACTTTCACATCTTTTCCCCATGCAGCAAGGCGGGCAGCAGTGGGGTACCGATCAGCCCACAGTGCCCTCAGCGCTCCAAGCGGCGCCTGCCTCAAGTCACGGAGCCCAAGTCGAAGAGCTCGTTCCCAGACATCGTGAGACGCCTCCTGCACAGGCAAGTGATAGACCAGCCGCTGCACCTGCCACCGCTTGATCGAATCCTCCAGATATACCTTCATGTCGGCTGGTGCCACTCGCAGGAGATCAAAATCCTCGCCTTGGTCGCTACGCCAGTGATGAGGTCCAAGAAATGTCCAGCCAATTCTGTTAAGCGTAAGCCATGCTGCACTCATTGGGCCGCGCACCACCGCCCAGGTCAGCCCTTTGTTGTTAACACGATCTGCCAAACTCAACCATGCATGTCGTAGCGCACTGAGGGGCACCCGAGCATCCCAGATAAAGCAATGCAGCCGACACAACTGCGCCGTCGTAGCATCAAAAATCGGGTCGTAGCGCACCTGCCACTGACAGTACATATAAGCCGTCTTGTGCGCTCTCGGCGGTGCCCCAACCATGGTAGCAGCAACTGACCTGGCCGTGGCAAGAGCTGAGTCAGTCATGCCCGACACGCCAGCACCATGAGCCACCGCTGGTTGTGCTCCTGCCCGCCAGATCACTGAGTTCTTACGACCAGCCACTTGGCGAAAAAGGTGGAGCCGATGACGTCGCTTCTGGAGATCACGAAAGCGGGCCTTTTCTTGCAAGCGAATAGGGCGAATACCGAAAGTCTCGTGGCCAAGGTTACGCATCCACGGCCGATGTGCAAACTTAGAGCCTCTCAAGATCTGACGAGAAGCCACCGTCGCGGCAACCAGCCCCGACTTCTTGTCATTAAAGCAAGAACCAAGCACTCTAGAGTCCTCCTGAAATATTCGCACCGCCAAATCAAGCGCAAGTATGCCCTTCGGGTCAGGCCCAACGTATTGGACCGAAACATCATCAACAAGAGCCCGTGGCACAACACCAGCGTAGTTGTCGCGCAAGCGTAGGATGGCCCGTAACGTGATACATTCCAGCATACAGACGGCATGCGTGCATCCAGCAAGAATGCCTTGGTCCACCTGCACCATGTCGGAGAAAGTGCCGCACCCTTTGAGGCTCCTCGGCTGGGCGTACATCTTGAGCAACATGTACAGCATCCTCGGTGGATAGCCAAGCAAGCAGCCCTCGCGAAACAGCTGCGACGGCCTCACCATGTCGAACGCCTTCGTGAGATCTAGTAGGACCGTCGCACTGAACTGGCCCCTCAGCACAGCCACCTCCGAGTCCAAGTTGTGGCTAAACGCGCTGTCCGACGAAGTGTAGCGGGACCTGTTGCCCCGCACATTGTCCGTGCGATGCTGCTACTCCACTGCCGAGATATGCCACGTCGGGCCCTGCCCCAAATGCGCTGGAAAGTGTTGACCACCGCAATCAGGCGGCGTCCTTCGCCAGCCTTGGGAATACGACACATCATCGACCAGGGCCGATCTGCAGGCCATGCGAGCAGCTGCTCGCACCTTGCGAAGAAACTGCCCAGCATCTCGAGCGACTCATCTGACAGGTGCCACAGCAAGCGTGGGTGTAATGCACAGGGCCCCGTCGAGGTCTTTCTAGGGAAAGTCAGTATCACCTTCCTCGGGGTGTCGGCGTCAGGCTTCGGAAGACATGGCCACTCTGAGGCCTCAGGAGGAGGCTGGACTGGTAGGCATCCATGATGGGTCCATACATCAACCCAAGTTCTCATGTCCCGATTCGCCAGAGCCTGCGGCTGAGCATCTGCGGGGCGTCGTTGAAATGCAACAACCTGCTCCAGCGGCCGCGCCTTGGTGACACGGTGAGCGATAGAGGCCCCTGCCTGAAAAGCCTTACGCTGGAACTGCATCCAAGCTCGGTAGGATTCCCGCTGGTCCTCCTTGCGCAGCCGAGTGGCCTCATTCCCGACCGAGCGCAGGAGGTCCTCGAAGCCAGGGGCAACCAAGACCTGCAGCCCAGATTTCAGGAAGGCCTGCACATTCTCAGGCATCTGGTGGAGCACAACTTGGCTGCGCATGATATTACGAAGATACCCACCAACTTCACTGCAAGCCTGGAGCAGGACTGCACACTGGGGCGGATCAATATCACAAAGAACATGGGCCATCTGAAGCCTGGTGACCAGCGTACGAAGTCTGTGGCGCTCCTTCTGAATGTGCATAAACCATCGAAGCACCACTTTCCAGGCCAAGGTCTGCGAGCGCTTGTAGGTGCGCTTGAGGGGTGGCTGCCAGACAACCTTCCGCCACGTGAAGGAGGTCGCCCCCGCTCGGCCTGAGTAGCGCAGCGCGGCAGGCCCCACATGGTCGTAGCGGTTGGTGAGCTCCCTTTCGGCCCCAATCATCAAGTCGTCCATGCACGCAGCAAGCCCTTCCGCGTCATCGGCCTCCTCGAAGCTGGTCGCCTCCCAGTAGTAAGGGAACCTCGAACATCCAGTAGGAGCCTGTAGTGGTAGTTCCTTAGGCAAATTCGGCACGAGCCTCCATAGCGGGTAGTCCTGTCCAAGGACTTGCAGTTGCACTGGACAATGAGGGTATAACGTCGCCTCTTCATCAACCCGAACGTGGGAGTCTACCCGTGCTGCCAGGTTTGCTGAAACCAAAAAATAGTCAAGTACAGTCCCAGGATTGGCCTGCCTGCACGTCGGCACCTTTGGGCAGAAGGGTATTGCCGAAGCTGCCGTAGCCCAGCTGGACGAGAAAAGCTCAGCGGGCTGGTTATTCCAATCCCCACCAATGAGCCAGTCCACCCCCTCGCTGTTCAGCCTCGCGAGAGCCTTGACCGTCTCCCACAGGTAGGCCGTGTTGACTGGGCCCATGCCATCCTTCGTGTCGAGGTAGATGCTGCCAGCTGTGAAACCTTCAGGCACACCCCAGTGAATGTGCGCAAAAAGACACCTTCCAGTGACGACCTCCCTCTCTGCCAAGATAGGGGCGGTGATCATCACGTCCGTGCGAACGAGGACCGCGACACCTGCAGTCGCGCCCGTCGCCGTGGCAGTACTCGGCGTCGCAGCAGCCCATATCCCATGCCAGCCAATATCACGAGCCTGAGATTGCGCCTGCTAGATGCGCTCGGGCAGCAAGTGGTGCTCTTGAACTAGCAGCACCTTCACGTCGTCGCCAATGCCTGGCATGTACTCGAAGAGGGAGCCATGCGAGCTGACGTTGACCGTCACCACCTGACCCTTGAACGAGGGCAGGCTGCGCTTGGCCCTGTCGTCGGCCTGGCGCCGTACCTTCCCAGTCGGATCTGATGATACATTAAGCTCCGCATGGCTCGACCCTATGCCACTTAAGGTAGGATGTGAGCACTGGGACCCGTCTGGCCCCTGCGACCCCTCGACAGGCCCAGGGGGGGGGGGGGCAGCGGTGGCCTGAGCCGACAAAACCGAACGGCCCCCCCGAATGACCTCCCGCCGCTCAGCGTCAGCCTGAGGCGAGCAAGGGCCCAGGATCCCAGGGAGGGCCTGCCCAGAAGCGTTCTGACGGGGGTCGTGGCGACTCGGGCTGGATTCCAGCAAGGCATGTGGCCTGGATCCTATATTAGAGATCCCAGTGTTGGTCGCACTCATCGGGGCAGTCGTGATATCGACCAGCGTAGCCGCTGACGACCCACTCCAAGAACTGGTAGGTGCAGTCGTAGGCGCAGCTGAAGTGGAAGCTGTCGGCCTGAAAGACAGCACCACCAGCTGCGCGATGACCGAGTCCAACGGGTCGCCCGCTTGGTCATCATCTGCATTAGGTCGTCGAGGATGTGGTGTATTCCTGACATATGGGGCCTGGTCGCCCAGCACTCGTCGGAACATCGCTCGGACCTCGTCGAGAGCTCTCCAGTGTCTGTGCTCAAGCCTTTGAGCGGCGCCAGGCTCTCGTCCAGCGAGGCGCATGAACCAGGCCTCTCGGCGCCCCTCAGATTGCCGCCATGCCGTAGAACATAGCTCATCAAATGTATCTTGAAGGCTCCTTCCAGGAAGCCAAGTCAAGAGCAACTGACGTACAGGAATATTGGCATTACGTCCTATCAAGGCGGATAAAAAGGCAGTACACCATTCAACCCACGGACGTCCATCCCGTGGGATCTGTGTGTGGCTGTCGAACCAGAGAGCCGCCCAGCCACGTAAGTTCTGGCGCATGTCCTGGTAGTCCTGCACTGGGTCAGGAGGTGCAGGCATCCGTGCTGGATGGAGGTGTCCTGGACTGCTGCCCCACGTCGCGCCACCGACTGCGGGCTCGCCATGAGAAAGAGGAGCCCAGCAAAACCCTGCGCCCCCACCCCCACTCGCTGAGTCCCCCGCCTCCTGTGGAAGGGGTGCCCTGGGGGATGGTGGACGCAGGCGCGACTGCGAACCTGAGCTGCCACAGGCAACCCAGGATTTGCGATCTAACGCCTGATGCCCTCCGTCATCAGCATGCACAGGAACAAAAGCATCTGGCAGCGGACCAGGATCCGCACGTAGGCGCTCACAGCCACCATCTCCTGCTCGTGGATCCCGAAGAACTCATCCTGGTCGAAGCCAGGGTCGGCACACAACTGCTCGAAGTCGTCGCCGAAATCGAAGAAATGGGAGTCTGCCGCCATTGCACCGATAGTAGCAATCAGGAGCACAGGCCTAAGCCGCAACCTAGGGCTTCTTGGCCAGCAGCTTCTGGCACGAGTCCAGCTGGCGCTTGGCTTGGGCACGCAGCTCCGCCTCATCAGCGCTGGCTTCCATCCCAGCGTCAGCAACAAATGTCCGAAGATCTTCCAGGTCCATATCTTCAGGTACAGGCATGTCAAAGCACTCGGGCCGAACAGGCTGCTCAGCTTGCTGCTGTGACGTCTCGGGAGGTCGCTGCTGCTGTTGTGGCTGCTGCTGTTGCGCGCGAAGCTGCTCTTGCTGTTCAGTTCGCTGCTTCCGAACTTGCTCAAGCCAGGGCTCCACGAACTGGGCGCAACTGGCGGCCAACTGCGCACCGCCACCGAGGGACTGAACCGGGCTCTGCAGTTGCTCCAGACTGGCCGTGAAGGTGTCAAAGACCGCTTGGTCGCTGCCTTCAGGAGCATGAGTGACCTGCTCAGATGTACGAGTACGCAGCAACTCCATCTGCTCCCTCTGCATCTGCACCCGAGCCTTTTCTTTGGTCTCCAACTGCTGCTTGAAATCCACCAACAAGGCTTGTTTTTCAGCGATGGCCTGCTCTTCCGACTCGATGGTGGCCTTGAGCTTCGCAATCTGCTGATCAGCCTTCTGAATCTTATTGCCAATGCCATGCACCTGCGCACCCAACGGCTTAGCATCGTGGATCTCCTGCCGCAACTTTCGTAACGATGTTTGAGCTTCCTCATAGCCGACAACAGTCTGCGGGGCAACGCCTTTGACTTTGGCAGCCAGCTCGAGGGAGGCCACCACCTGCTCCAGCGCCTCCAGCTCGTGCTGCTTACTCTGGGCGTCGTCCTTAGTGGTGGCGGCATCAGACTGCGGAGGCGACTGCTGCACGTTCTCAGTCGGCCTGGTCCGAGACAGCTGCTGCACCTGCTTCCGAAGGGCCGCCAACTCCTTATCCTTGGCCTCCAGCGCCGCCCGAGTATTGCCCCCAGCAGCAGGTGCACGAACACTGGGCGTAGGAGAAGGTAGGTCGCACTTGTAGACACGTCCTTTGGTCCCACCACACAAGAAGCAAGAAACAGCATCTGCATGATTGTGCCAAGGCTCGCCAGTTTTCTCATGTGTGCAGTGCCTGCACTCATGCTAGCACAACACCCCCCCACCCCCAGCCGTGCCCCCCTGTGGCCTGTACGGGACTAGGGCGGCCCGCGCTTGCCCATCCCACCCCCCCCCCCCCCCCCAGGCGTCAGCAACGCTTACCTTGCGGGCCCGAGCCTGCTCGCGCGTTGCCCCAAAAAACTAGACTAGAGGGGTAGGATAAAAAGGAGAACGAAGAGGATGGAGGAGGACGGGGGGGGGAGGGGACAGAAAAGGCGGGGAATGGAGGAGGATCAGGAGGAAGCATCAGGCAGGATGAAGTGGAGGGAGCTGACGAGGAGTAGGGGGAGGATGTATAGGGATCTGATATGACGGATTGCACCATGTACAAGACGCCTCCGATATTCCTGCCCTCCTCCCGTCTTGCAGTCCTCTCTTATCCCCCTTTCCTGCTTTATTTCCCCTCTGCCCTCCTCCCCTCCCCCTCCCCCCCATTCCCCCCCTCCCTTCCTGCCCTCGTCCCCTCCAGCCCTCCTGCCTCCTCCTCTCTCCACGGCCTCCTGCCCGCCCTCGTCCCCCCCCCCTCCTGCCCTCTTCCTTTTTCCCGTCCTGCCCTCCTCCCCTCCTGCCCTCCTCCCCCCGCTGCCGACTGCGCGCGCACCCTTCTCCCGCGCCCCCATCGCGTTGCCGTCGCTTCCTCTAGACGGGTTGCGCCGCCCCCGCCCGCCCTCAGAGACGGCTGCGCCCCGCCCGCCGCGGGCATGGTGAAGCAGGGCGCCGCCGCGAAGGTCAGCCCCGACGTTCGCATGCTCGCGAACATGCTGCTCGGGAAGGACCGCGGCGGGGGAACAGGGGGGACGATGGGGGGTAGGGAAACTTCCTGGCATAGCCTCCTTTGCCTCCCCATCCCTCTCTCGGCCGTCCTCTCACCCCCCCCCCCCCCCCCCCCCCCCCCAGTTCCCTCATCCTCTTTAGCATCCTCATCCGAGCCCCACCCCCCCCCCCCCCCCCCCCCCCCCCATGGACCCCCCATCTGCATCCTTCTCCTCAGCCGCCTTGGCCTCCTCATCCCCCGTGGCCTCCTCATCTTCATCCTCCATCGCCTCATCATCCTCATTATCATTGGCCTCATCGCACTCATCTTCCTAAGCCTTTTCGTCGCCCATAGCTTCCTTAGCCACCTCGTCATCCATTGCCTCCTCCTCCTTAGCCTCACTAATATCATAATGCTCGTCTCATTCGCCTTGGCCCCCTCATCCCCCGCCTGGCCAGCCACCCCAGTCCCCCCCCTACCGCGGCCTCCCGCCCTCCCTCTCGCCCCCACCTCCGTTCTCCTCCCGCATTCCCTTCCCTCTCCTCCTCGTCGGCGCCGTCCTCCCCATATGGTCTCCTCTACCTCTTCATCACCAGCGTCATCATCATCGTCCTCTCCCGCATCCTCAGCATCATCCTTGCCACCAGGCATTTGCTCTCCTCCTGGTTTGCTCTTTAGGTGAGTTGCTCCCCTCCCCATCCGTATCCCCATCGCCCGCATCCTCGCCCCCGTCGTCTTCATCGTCTTCTCTATGTCTCGCCGTCTTCATCCCCATCCTCACCGTCCTCATCTTCCCCGACTGCTCTCCGAATGTGATGGCCCCCTCGTCCTCGTCATAGCCGTCGTCGTCGCCGTCGCCATCATGCCCGCCCTCCTCATCCTCGGCCCCGTCGACCCCCTCGCCCGCTTGCCTCGCGCGCTCCGCCCCCTACCCAGGATGAGAACAAGCCAGGCTTGAGCTTCGAGGTGCACTTCAAACGCAAGCAGATCTTGAAGGTCAAGGTCGTGATCGACCGTCTCTTCGCGGACAGCCTTTTTTTTTCCCGTGGGGGGATGGGGGGAGCGGGGCAACGGAGGCGGGGGGCAGTGCGGCGCGCGCGCGTCTGGGTAGTTGAGGCAAAGATGAGGATGATGAGAATGATGAGGAGGATGAGGAGGAATCTGAGGATGCTGAGGAGGGGAGGGGAGGAGACGGACGGAATGCGGGGGATGAGGGGAGCTGTCGAGGAATCTGAGGAGGGGTCTGACGAGAAATAGGAGGGAGTTGACGGAGGGAGCCTCCTGCTTCTCCTCTGCCCCATCTTCCCCTGTACTGTCCCCTCCCCCTCGACCTCCTGAGCCTCTCTCCTCATCATCATCTGCCTCCCTGGCGCGCAGGAGCCAGAGAAGATCGAGATCATCCAGACTATGTTGGAGCGCCCCTTGGCAGAGCTGCAGGAGATGCAGCCGAACAAAAAGGCGAAGAAGGTCGCCGAGTCCGTCAAGCAGCTGAATGATGATCCGTATTTCTCCGCCGTGTTCGTGCGCACGCTTGGCGACATCCAGGTGCCTGCGGCAAGTCCCGTCGCTGCGCCTGGGGTGCGCGTCAGCGTCCTAGTCGATGCCGCATTGGGTCTCATCGGGGGGGGGGGGTGTTCGGGAGTTCCAGGGGGATCAGTGTTGTTGCATGTTGGGGGGCCTCTTGGGACAATGTTGGATGCGTACTGGGCAATTCTGACGCGTCGGGAAGCCGAACATACGATAACCCCAAACCCCGTAACGTACTCATTCGTTTGGCCATCTGGTTCGGGGAACTCGTGAGAGGCTTCGTGGAAGCCTTCTGGGGCTTCGTGGGGCCCTCTGGGGCCGCATTCGAGACATGGTTCGCTGTCCTGGGATCAGATTGGGTCCTCTTGGAGGCATCTTGGACCATCTTGGTGGCCTCGGTTGGCTACCTTCGCCGTCGTGGAAGCCTTGGAGGGCCCCAGGGAGGCGCCATGGCCGCCCAGAAACTCGCCAGGGTTAGAAGCGGTGCAGGTGACAGTCTGTGTCCCGCGGAAGGGGGGCCCTGAGAAGACAGCAGAATCCTGCCCAGGGGGGCCATTGGCATTCTTCCACGCCTCAACGTGCCACAAGGCGCGTTGGCGGATTCCGCAGCAGTGGGTTTTTTGCGTCTTCCGCAAGCACTCCAAGGTTCCGATTCCAGATGCCACTGTGTCCATGATCTGCGCCAAGGGTTCGCAGGCTTACAAGCAAGTTGTGTATTACTTGCTGGGTGCCCCATGGGGCCTTCGAATACGACGGCGACGACGTCGACGTCGACGTCGACGTCGACGTCGACGTCGACGTCGGCGACGACGTCGACGACGACCACGACCACGACCACGACCATGACCACGACCACGACCATGACCACGACCACGACTACGAGGTCGAGGAGAACGGCGACCACGACTACGAGGTCGGGGAGGACGACGGCGACCACGACCGACGACCGACGACCGACGGCGACGACGATGACGACGACGCCAACGACGGCGACGGCGGCGGCGACGAGGATGACGACGAACGGCGACGACGACGACGACCACGACCCCCGAGGTACCCCTCTTTCTTTCGTACTTCCTGAAGAGTTTTTGCACAAGGACACCTGCGCCAAGTGGATGTTGAGCTTGCTGTCGACGAGAGGCCTCCTCAACAAGGGGGGGGGGGTTCTTCGTCGACACCTGCACGTCCAAGGGCGTGGAGTTCGCCCCCCCGCACTGCATATTTCAACATTGCGTCCACAGCGAGACGGTGCATGGCGACGAGGACAGGGGGATCAAGGAGACTACGATCCAGGCGGGCGTTGGGGTTGGGGGCATTCTGGAGCGGCCGCCGTCGCCGCGGGGTGTGTTTCTTACCGGAGGATGCGGGGCCCGCCGCGGGGGCGGGGGAGGTGCGAGGACGAGGCGTGGGCTGGCGTGATAGCGCACGGGGGCGGGGCTGTGCGAGAGGTAGGGGATGCATGTACTCACCCATGTTCTAACCCTGACCCCTACCCTAACCCTGACCCCCACCCTAACCCCCCTCCCGAACCCCGCACCTGATCCGAATCCTAACACTGACCCCTACCCTAACCTCTACCCTAGCCCTAACCTCTAACCCTAACCTCTAACCCCAACCCTTACCCTAACTCCTTAACCCTCACCCCTAACCCTCCACCTCCGCTTCCGCTTCCATGTCCAGGTATCCGTCCTCCCTTCACCTCCGCCCCTCTCGGCGGTTGGGAGGTGGACTACATCAAGGACCTCACGACTGGCGTGTCCCACAAGCTCAAGGACAAGTTTCCTGCAGGCCGCTGCCCATGGGGGGCAGGAGGATGGCAATGAGCAGGATGAGGAGTAGGAGGACGAGGAGGTGTCCTGAGGATGAGGGGCAGGAGGATGGCGATGAGGGAGGTGGCTGGGACGATCAGGGGGAGGGTCATTAGGGGTCGGCGTACCAGCATCAGGAGTAGGAGGGAGGCGGCGAAGAGGATGAGGAGAAGGAAAACGGGTGGAATGAGGACGAGGGGTGGGTTGATGAGATCAGAGCGCGAGAACCTAAGTGCGCCGCGCGGAGGCATTTATACGTTCCCTTGCTTGCTCTTGCTTCACCCCAGCTCGTCTGACAATGCATTCCCCTCCTGCCGCTGCCAGGCAAGCAGATCGATGATAACTTCGCGCACAACGCCGCCTACGTCGTCCTGTTCGAGAACAAAGTGTGCGTCAACAAATTGTTCGCCTCGACCCGCAGCGGATCCTCCTCTGGTTCGTCTGCCAAGAGCACTCAGGGGACCGCGTCGGCCGCGGCAGCGAGTGCAGCGCAGTTCATCCAGAACCTTTCCAAGGAGCAGGCCAAGAGTGAGATCGTCGTGGACGAGGCCATCGCGTCGGCGGCCAAGCGCAAGCGCAAGGCCTCGACCCCCTTGCAGGCCCTGGGTCAGGCGTAGGCGCCTCCAGGGATAGTGAGGCGATATTGCGTGTAATTCTGATGGGCCCTTCGGGTTCTGACGCTTTGTTCAGGGAGGTGCTCGTAGGAGAAGTTCGCTCGCTCGTCAGTGTGGGCGCGCCTGCGTGTCCGCCCGTGGCCGCATTTATTTGAATGCTCGGGGTGCCACGACAATTGCCTCGCACTCCTTCGTTCATTTCGGGGTTTGCTTCAAGGCCAGTGCCTGGACGAAGGCGTTTTCAGTAGTTCGATCCCGTC